GTGTCCACTGGGGGTGAGTTGGCGTGGTGGTATGGATGGGGTGGTGTGAAGTAGTGTGTGTGGGGGAGAGGTTGATGTAAAATATATTGCTTCGATTATGATTTTTTGAAATACTATATCTTTGGTTGTGTGATGCACTTTATCTCGAGTGTTCAACTTATTGGGTTAACGTTCGAAGTGTGTTATAAGAGAACATATGGCATTGATTTAGTAATTGTTGAATAGACTGAAGGTGTGCATGGGGGGAAATTTATTTCGGCGGTGTTTTCGCTATCCGTCTTTTTGTGGAAGGGTAGGGAACAGTTTGTGGGCATAATTCTTGGTACTTCGCCACCTCCTTACATTTTGTTTAATAGCCTAGAATAGTGGGAGTCTATGATATCTGCATGATAAAGAAGATAGATAGATTAGTTATATGTTGTGTGACCGGTGTCTAGATGGATCATCGCGTGATATAGCGGTCATCAAGATTTGGGCTGCTTTATTATACGATAACAATCAGTTTGCACCGAATCATCAATTGTAGGTTATGTTAAATATCGCTACATCATCCTAAATAAGTTCAAACTGGCACAACAACAAGAATTATTTTTCAATAGCTCGTTTTTCAAGCAAAAAATATGTTTTTGAACTTCTTCTTTTGGAAAGTGACTCAAGTGAATAGCGTGATAAGTTTTATTTCTTTGTTTTTTGAACATCTTTAATTATTACTGAGGTAAGAAGCGGTGAACACTTTTTAGGTAAATTCAAATTTTTTGGAAACAGGTTTAAACTACGTCGTCTTTAGGTGCTTGTTTAATTTAGATAGAATGTATTGGGAGTTATGAGTATTATCATGGTTGATCTATGAGTTAGATCTGGGCAAATGGTAAAGGTTGGATAATTTTGTATTTAAGTGGTAGTTAAAAAACCCTTGGGGTGATGTTTCATCCATTAAAACACTCAGGCTTTATGGATTTACTTCATAGTGATCGTATTTTAAAATATTCGGACTCAATCTCTTTTCTCAATATCATATAACAATTGACATACATCAATGAACAAATAAATGTGTCTATCAGTTTGTTTAAATATTCCGGGTTAGAAACGTAGATAAAATAATTATTAAACTTCATAGACGATAGTATTTTCTGAGCGCGTACACACGGTTTGAAAGGTAGACGTATCTATACATAATATTACTGTAGTCGCATTATTTAACTTATGTAGTTAAATGATTGTTAATAATACGTATAGAACAGTAGATTTATATCATTGGAATATTGTCATA